AAACCTACTATCTTTCAGCTTAAAGCCATTTCCCCTTGTTTTGTCATTGACTGCCCTTATAAAAAGTCCTTCCCCAGCTTTCTTGTAGGTCTCCAAAAAAGACAAAAAGTCCACCTAAAATGTCTTGTTTTGCAAAATGCACTGTTAAAAGGTTATAGTTTTATAAGCATATATGTTGTATAAAAGCATAAATGTAAAGGAAACTGTGTTAATATGTATAAATGTAGGCAAAGACAAGACCTAAAAATGGACTGACTTGTCAAAGAGGTTTTTTATGCTCAGAATCTGTGAAGAAATTGGGAATTAACAACACATTTAAGAAGGAACAACCGTCACAAAATACATGACTGTAGAGAATCTTTTAACCAGTTGTGAGTCTCTTTAATATGTATTATTTTAAAGGTTTTCTCTGGTCTAACTCCCACTTAAGTTAATATGAGCATCTTAATATTGTTCAATGGGAACAGAGAAGAATCAAATAACTCATTTTTTATATCTTACTTATCCAAACAACATTAGGTTTGTAGCTATGGAAGTACTCTGGGATCCTCAGTGGAGGTCTATCACTCATGCCTAAAATCCTCTGGAAAAGGCATAGATGTCTCAAATTATGTGCCCTACCACTCAAAATAAATATTTCATTAAAAGAAGGCATATTTGGCACTTGTCTCTTATTTCTGTGGTTCCCAAAGAAAGCTGACAGGACAAGTTTACATTCAGAAAATTATAATTACAGGTAAATAAGCTAAAAAGCATAATGTATTTCCTCTAGATATCTTTGAAGACAAGGAAAAGAAGGCGGATTGAAGATAAATTAGTTAATTAAACATCAAGTGAAAGATAACATTACAAAAATGAGTTTTTTATTATTGCAAGAATTTCAAGGAGCTGTCTGAAAGGCTTTGTCACTAATTGAAAATAGACTACAGAATCAATTGCTTCTACAGTCAATGAGGAGGAACATTTTAATTGAATTATAAGACAATATATACATTCTTCAAAACACCGACACTTGTGAAAATGGCCAGCACCTGGACTTATCTTTACCAGGAAGGAACAGACAGATGGAGGCTGGGCAAGTTCTCCTCATATTACTATGACAACAGATGATTTATTTCAAGTGCAATTCGTGGAAAATAGCAATACCTCAAAAGTTTTAAGGAGCGAAGTGCTTGTCATGTTAAGAGTAAATAGACCTCAGAAATGCTCTAGTAATCAAGAATTAGATATTCTTACTTTTTTCAGTATTACATGCTCAGGCATATTTGCAGAAAATCTAAACATTGGATTAGATTACCAGCAACATGTAACAGTACTGTATTTCACTGTTCATTAAGATTATAAAAAATTAGACTGCATAAAGGATTTGTGAATATACATATTGCTAAAGAAGTGATTCTTGTCACTTTGCATTATCTATTTCCCTGACATTTCTCCAAGACCAAAAGCTTTAATGATGGCTGTAATACTAAATCTGCTGATAGAACAGCTAGTCAAACTTGGGCCAGAGTCACACTCTTCAGGGCCACTCTCAAGGCTTTTCACTACTAAAGCCAACAACGATGGAAAGGGGAATTTGATGTCAATTCTCTAGATGTGCAAAATACACGATTTATAATCATAACAGTGTTTACATACACTATGATGCTTGCTAAAGCTAGACTAAGGTCTTAGTTTACTACCTTTAAGTCAGTGTTTATTCAATTGCCAAGAAAGCTAAACTACCTGCCTTGATTACACAGGAACACAAATGCCAGTACTTTGACACTGCATTGTTAGTTTTCTGACACTGCTATCTTGCTGAGTTCTGTGCCTAGGGAAAAATTTAAATGGTGCCATTCATCAGTAAATAGAGCACTACATCCCAAAATCTTATCTCTGGTTGCACACCTGACATATAGCAAAGTTGCTTTACTGTAGTTTGAAGGCCAGTGTGTAGATAACCTTAGTCAGAGAACTGCAAGTTAATCACACAGTTGGGCAACTGACATCATCCATAAATTCTTCTGATATAATGGCACCAGCATGCTAATTTATGTGAAGTGATGTCCATTTGCTTATCATGGATTGGAAACTGTTTCACATAAAACAAAATTCTAATGTATCATATGGAGTTATAGTCTATGCTAATTGCTTTTGGCATATTTCCCCTTGTAACCATTTTCCCAGTTCTTAGACATGTTATATGCAGCTTTAAGAATGTTTCAAAACAAGATATTTTCCCTTAAAATTAAATACACTAACTTCACTGAGAAGTAATGGAATTTATTTTAAATGCATGCATTTACATATGCAACTACCCAACTAAGCCATATTCAGAAAAAATACAGTATGCATTGGTATTTATTTAAATACAAATAGATACTATAGATGAAGACTAAAATCTAAATACCAAAATTTTGTAAAATAAATATTTAAGAATGTTTCCTACTTGGTTGGTTTAGAACTTCCTAAATCTTGTAGGAAAAACAAAATTCAGAACTAATGAACCTATTTCACCATTACACTGAAGCTAAACTATACAAATTTCAAGAAAAATCTGAGTATGTCCTTATGTAGAGAGAGTTCAGGATTCAAATTTGCTCTTTTGACATCTGTCAAGGGATTCTTTGAATCACTTCTCAACTTAACTATTAGGGACTCTACTGGGGACACCAGCAGTCATCACACCTGTTGGTTCTGTAGCAGTGGGGAGTAATGGGAATGCTGGAGGAAAATCTACCCACTATTCAGCTAAAGCTGACAGCTATCTTCAGTTCATACAAAACCAGTGCCTTATATTATGATAAGCAGTTTGTTAAGTGAGTGCAAACTCACACATAATATGACTATTATTATTTAATTGTATTCTAAGTCAATTTCTGTTAAATCAATTTCTGTTAAACTTAATTACATCCCTCTATGGCTTTAAACTGGGGCAGCTTCTATTAAGTTTATTTTCTCCTGAGGTTTTCACAGTAAAGGCAAATGATAAAGGTCTGGCAACTAAATGAGGGCAGCTATTAAATAAGGATGGGTTGTGTTAAAGCTGAATGGTAAAGATGTGGCTACTGGTTGAGAAAACCCCTTAGTAAGGTAAGTGTATTGTATTTTGAAAAGGGCTTGAAGGAGGAGAGAGAAGGAAACAAACTTTGTTCATTAACTCTTGTAAGATACTCTTATAAGAAGCTAATAATGTCCAAAGTTTCTTGGCAACTTCCTCTGAAGTTTCTCTTAGAAACAAGTGAGTAGTAATTTGATACAGGCTCCTCCTTAATGAAAGAGGAGAAAATTAAGCACAACCTCTGGTTCTGGAGGCAAAGAGCTAAAAATGCATCTCAGAAGGACTTGAAATGTGATTTCAGGTAGCTGTTGATAAATAAAAATTCTGTCAGCATTATTCTAGAAGATAAGACTGAGAACCATATATCGTAGTTCAGTTTAGAATTACATCATAATTCCAGAAAGAATACAGATTAAACAAACTTTTGAAATTATAAACTATTAACATGCATTTTGTTGGGTTTTTGTTTGTGGTTGTTTTTTTCTTTTGGGGTGAGGGTGGTGGGGGAGGTGGTGTGAGAGGTTATACCACTCTGGAGTTCTTAAAATCCATCTGGTTTACTGTGGTTCTATTGTTATTCGTGGAGAAACGTGGTTCTTTGCTAGCACTGACACTACACTAATGCATATATTCTGATGAACATAGCGGTAAGACAAATAAGAAAAAAAAAAGTATTACTTCATGTATAACGTTGTTTTGTGAAACACTCAGAGCCAGCCTAATCTAAGTGCACAAGTGTATTAGTGGCTCTGTCCACCAACATGTAAATTTCCATAATGCTCATGTTGGAATAAAACACGGCCATTTCATAAATACACTCCTTCAATTTCAGACAGTTCTTGGTGTTTGTTACAATGAACAATTACAATAATTTTATATGCACAAAAATGTTTATGAACAATGAGATTATACTCTTCCACATTTGATGTGATGCCTGATTAAAATATCTCTCCTCCACCTTGTTCAGTATTCCTCATAAGAAACACAGTAGGCCACATTGGGGCCAAAGTGATTGGCAGCAGCTTAGCCCAATGACAGGAAAAATCTGTTTGGCTGAGGGCCTACACATGATCTTCACTAAACATCTGTTAGATTTCATAACAAGAATGTTAAAGATAATATACATACTACTTTTCAAATGTACCCCAGTAAAGAGATTACTGCAGTGATTCCTGGTTACACTTGAGAACTGATGCATTTTTTAAACTGAAATTATATATTCCATTTGACCAAATTCACTCAAAAATTCATTTGTAACTTTTTTTTTTAATCTTAAAGATGGATTTTTTAACCTGAAAGTCATATATTTATGTGAAGTCTGGAAGACAGAACTCAGATTAGCAGAATATCAGTATATCAGTTGCCAAGTAAGAGCTCACACATAGCAACTTTGACACATTTTGATGTAGCTGAAGCCATACTGCTTACCTTACTTGTTAAAGAAAAACAGATTTGTTTGTTAGATTGTATAAAAGCAGGACCCTCTCACAGCAAAGATGGAGACCTCACCTACGAGTGGACACACTCCGTAGGAATTTCCAATTGCTGGGGAAAGGCTCTACAAATCCTTTGCTGTGATGGGGCTCCCCAGCTGATGTACAGGATCTGGATGATGGTAAGTATTTGGGCAATTAGTGATGCATCTTTCTCAATCACTGTGCTGTCTCTTATATAGTAATGATTAGGTGCACGACCCTGTTTAACTCTGTACCTTGCTTATTCTTCTATTTTTCCCTGTTTAAAACTAGAGTAAAATAAGTCTGTTTCTAATATTAAGTTGGTGTCTGGGTCCTGTTTGCTAACCCCGTCAGCTGGCAAAACAGATAGATAGGTAGATAGAAATTTGATAATGGAGGGGATCCTACACTCAAAGAAATAGTTTAATTTTTGCCATAAAGATTTTACAAATAAAAGAAGAGCAAATGAAAGCTTTACCACATGGAGTTTTTATCTTTACCTGACAATCGCGTTATTCACAACAATGGCTTCCAGGTATTTCTTCAGTGCATAATAATTATGGTTATATTTCCGAACATAATAGCCTCGCCACCTTTTCTGAATCTAGAGGAAATAAATATTTGCTTAGTATATTTCAAATCAAAAGTTTGTATGCATATAAAATATCTTTTCTATTTCCCAAAATAATATGGTTTCCTTAGAAGTAATATCAAGTAGGAGCATCAATATGTTTCAATGAAGAAAATGAGGGTAGGAAGTAACATATTGTAGTTAAATGACTATTTAAATGCCAACATTAAAAAACAACATCAAGTTTTAAACCACTGTTTATATTGGAGTGTGGCAATGAAAAGAAGCGTCTGCTACTGCCAGTAGCATTGCTCAATGTAAGAATGGTAAAAAACAGACAATGGAAGTGGTGTCTCTTCTCAGGTACAACGTGCATTCCCTACTGAGTCACCACCTCACCAATACCTTCTGCTACACTGTCACATTTGAGCCTTGGATATAACCTAAACTGAATAGTAGCCTTCCCAGCAATTCAATGAATCAGGCTTTCTAAAAGTAAGATGATGCAAGTCTATTTCTTGCACATTAATTGTAATCTTCTCACAAAATACTGTTCTTCTTGCATAACAGATAAAGTTTAAACTAGAAAAGGAAACCTCTTTATATGTAGCTAGTCCTAAAGTTGTATTAAGACTAGAAGTTACGTAGCATTCTCCACCAAAAAGGATTAATATTTTGGTACATTTAGAAAAGCATCAGTTAAAAAAAAAAAAAGAGAGAGAGGGGTGAAAAAAAAGAGTGTAGCCTAACTTTCCCTGAGAAAGGGGAAAGAAGGTTAAACTTTCTCTGACACTTAAAAATTCTAATCATGATGTTTCTGAAATGATTACAGGTTTATTGGCTCTCTGTTTTCTGGGAAGAGAAAGTAAGTATTCATTAAGTAAAAAATTATCAGTATTGTCATTTGGTTTGCCATATTTATCCCTGTGCCATGACATGTATAGGCAGAAGACATAACTTGCCCATGCTGAGGGCTGCTCTCACTCCTCATTTTCTTTTCTGTAAGAAGACAGTGTATTTTAAATCAATACACCTGAAAAATAGATTAATGATCTTTTCCTCTGTTCTCAGTGTCTAGTTCCTCTTTTTTTTACATTCTTCCATCCTTGAACTTATTTATCTTTCTGCAAAATATACTTTACTTAGTTGCTTGCATTTTGTCTCCTTTTTTTCTCAATATATTTCTAAATTAATCTCCCAGTTTCTATCTTCTAGTATGCATTACATTCACTCCTGCTTCAACTTCCATCTCTTTGACCTTTACAGCTTTGAAATCTTAAGAGACATAACAGCTGAAAGGCAGAATCTACATTAAAAAAGTAAGACGACTGATGTCTTAGGATCCAGAAGCAACTCCAAGGTGAGAAGCTACTCACCTTCACTAAGTGCATTGGAGAGAAGAGTGTTGTAATTTGCCAAAAGCTCTCCTTTTCCTGTGAGCCTTTGGCTACTCGACTTTCCAAAAATTTAAACTCTTCAGTGTATCTACAGGGAATGTTTTTTCTTTTTTTTTTTTCCTTTACACCAACCCTTCTCTTTCCAGAACCAAGTTATGATTTGGTAAGTGGAGTGCAATCCATGTGTTTGTGTTGTGGTTTTCTTTCTTACCTTATTTCTTATTCCAAAAAAGCATGTAAAAAAAAGAAGAAAAGAGCATCATATTTTGTTGTGTTCAATTCAGGAAGAAAGCATGGGAAGAAAAGCTGCCCATTGCCTACATTATCAATCAACCTTTGTACTCAGTGACTTCAGAGTCTATATCAGGTCTCGGGAGTGCTGTTCAGTAACAGGCAACATTATCTCTACTTCTTCCAGTTCCATTGCAGTACAATTCTGTACCACTGTGATAACTGACAAAAGTTATTGCAATTTTTCCATCTCCTGCCATTTCCTGAGCTGAAAACAGTAACACACTGGAGTCATCTATAAGCTGAATAACTAAGACAGGGTTGTATATTTTCATTACTTTGTCTTTGGTACCATTTTGCAACCACAAAAGCCAAAACACTATTCTTTAAAGTAAAAATTAGCATCTAGTCTCAACTGATGGCACCTTATGGTACAGTTTTGATTATCTCTTTATGTTAGATTTAACAAAAGAGTAAGTATCACAAGAAAGCTTTCTGTAAGTCTTTGAGTGATTGTCACCAAGAATATAAAATGGTGTAGTAAAGCTATTAGGAACAAGAGAATATTAACTTTTAGTTGTCTTAGTAGAAGTGTTAATACACTCTTCTATTTCCCCTTTGTGCATCATCATGTATTTTGCTCTCTTCTCAAGTAAGACTCAAAGCTAATTTTTAAAGCTGGTATTTTACCTATAAGTTGGTTGTTTGGGTTTGGGTTTTTTTAACAAAAAGGGTTTGGACCTCTAGACATTGTTATAATATGAATAAATAATAGTTATGTGAGCAGCTGAGTAAAGGAACAAGAAAAGTTAAGCACTACCCGTTCCTTCGCACTAGTTGATAGTAAATTTCATACTCTTTGCAATTCCACTTTCTCATGCACAAGCTTGTTGGGTTAAAAAGCGATAGAGAAAGGGGAAAGAATGAGTATGCCTTCAGAGATGTAGGATTAAGCAAAATCCTTTGCATGTGAATAAGGATCTTAGCTTTGTTTTTCTGTTTGGCTTCAACATTTCTCAACAAGAGCAACTTGGCTCCCATATAGCTGTGTGCTCATTAATGCAGGATTATGGTCCCTTTGAAACTCTTTCTGATAGTCTTCACCTCATAGTTATAAATGCAGAACTGGATATTTCTGGGTTAAAGGATAAAAAAACTCAAACTGAAAGACAAAAGACTCAAATTGTATAAAGCTATAATTACCTCCAATGGGCTCAGTGTACCGATTAAATGCCGCCCGCATTCTACATTTACTTACAGCACTTTTTGTTCAGAATGACCTCACTGATTTCAACTGAATTAAACATAAGTAAGAAAAACTGCATTATGTCTCAAATTATTTTGTGCTAGATTTCTGTATGTCAGAGATCACAAAACTGAAGACTAATCTTCTTGGAAAAAAACATTTCACACAAAGCTTCTGACGATGTATGTTCTGACATATTTTCAATGTTGAAGTTCTAAATATTTGCTTTTACGAGGAAGTGTAACATGTTACAGCTGTATTTCTTTTTAATTCCAAGGTGAATGTTTAAAAAATTCTTGAAAAAAAGAGACAAGTGTGTATGCCCTTCAAAGTAATTAGCAAGTTTCAACAGTGATTGGTACAAAACAATTATTGTCATTGATCAGCACTGAACAGATAATTTTAAACAAAGTCATTGTGTGCTCAGCAGATTACAGCTTGTTAACGGGCAAGTTCTAAATGACCTCTTAAGCTAGTCAAATCAATGATGCATATTCCTCATTAAGTAACATCAAAATGTAAGTGGTCTTATAAATAATGTTTATTTTAAGCACTAAAACAAATGGCAAAAACTTTGATATATCAAAAGCCATCTGCTCATGGAATTTTTTTTTCCATAGGATTACTTTTGCTGGTGAAAATTTATAGCAACCTTAAACCTTTTAAGGGAGAGAATCATATTCTGACCTAGTGCTCAAAACTGAAATTGATTAAAACAAGTTCTCTGATTTAATTTTAAAATGTGAAAATGATAGCTCTGGTTACAACTAAATGCAATCCAGGGAGACAGGAAGGTAGACTGACTTCGAAACTATGAGCATGTGTATGCCCTCAATGATACTTTACTTGCAAAAATCAAAACTGCCTTTCTAGTCAGTAACTATAAACTGAAATAAATATTTTAATAATACTATGAGGTAAAACTAAGTGGTTAAATAGAAAAAACATACACAGTTATTGTTACATTTTCAGAACACTGAAGTATATTAATCATGAATCAAGCTCACTATATGTGAATATGAGGCACTACTGGCTTAGGAAACCTGAAGTCTGGCCACATATCTTCTGTGCAGAAAGTCAACATGCCTTATTCTTTATTGTCCTGGACCTTGGTTAGTTCTTCAAGAAACAGATGACAGCAAAAAAAAACCCCATTCAGTGTTTCAAAATGGTAGCATTTTAAATCTGCTCTGCAGATATGTCTGCACAAGATTTAGACAGAAGAGAATCCGATTCTGACATTTGCAACCACATAAAGATCTGTTCTATTGTTTTCTACTGATTTAAATTTCCATTAAAGAAAAGGACATGACTGAAAAAATGGTACTTTGAAGATTTACATCACCTAATGATTCAACATTATATTTCCATTACAAATGAATGGGAACACATTCAATTTCTTTTAAAAATGAAAGACCAAATGCAAAACTCCATTTGACTAGAATATATAATTACCTCTGAAATTTGGTCTTCAAATGCCTTCTAAAAGTACACAGGCAACTTTTAAGAGCTGGCTTGCATCTTGTGTTTTCTCACTGACTTCAGCTGCATGAGTATACAGCATTTATCCACTGTGGAATATTTTCAAACTAGCTAACTAAGGAATAAACTTAAACAACAACAAAAAAAAGTGCATTTCTGAGGAATCAGATTGTTGTCAAACATGTTCAGCTCTCTAATATGCACCAAATGTAACATTGTATTTTGTGCCTTTGAGAGAACCACCACTAAGTAAAAAACCTAATGAGAACACTTCTTGAGGCCAAGTTATTCTGGAATCAGAGAGGCCACAAAATTAACATATATTCTGAGAATCACCCTACTTTACAGGAGTTTCCTTGGATTACTCTCTATCCCCACCACATTCCTACATTTGGTAGAATTCAAAAGGTAAGATATCTTGTCTAAAAAGATATAGGACTCTAAGGTACAGTAGGACTATTCCACAAAATAAAAGAATTAAGTAAGAGAAAAGGATTTCATCGCAAGAATTACCTCATGCCCTTCCTGTGTTTGTTCTGTATATTTGTTTAAGTGCACTTACAAAGTTCAGGAAAAAAAATGCTAATTTCTAGTTAAATATATTTTGCAGTTTTCTCCATAACAAACTTCATTTGCTGTATATTTATTAAAGTTCAAGGACTGTTTATACTTTTCTTCATACAGCAAAATTCACTCATAATATCATCAATGAGTTCAGCGCAGTTCCACCTCTACGTTTAGGCAATGAAATGGTCCTATGCTCTCTTAGTAACTCTTTTGAGATTCAATACATCAAATGCAATGTCCTAAGGACAGAAAAAGCACAGCCACATCAATGAACATAAAAGCCCCATAGTTTGTCAGAATTGTAAATATATGTCTACATTTGTAAGAATACTCACAGATAGGATGCTTGGGGTTTTATTATTATCGTATACAGTAAGGTACAATGAACATTTAAATGGGGTAAGACACATGTAGAAGCCTTAAATTCAGCTACAGTTTCCAAATAGAACCCAGACTACTGAGTGTAACTTTAATTTTTAACTATGTACTATTTCCCACTGTTGCCATCAGCATATCAATCAAGTGTATATTATTCTGGTTTGCTCATTTTATTAAAAGCAAATTCGGAGCACAATTGACTTTTCATTTGTTTAACAAGTGAAGAAATATTTACCCTGACAGCCATTTCATTGTAGAAATTCATCTTCATAATAAAATATGCTGTCTGTGAATCAAGGAAAAAAAAGATGGCATATATTTCAGTTACACAAAGACAGTGCTCCTATTTTTACATATAAAAGATAAGAATCTTTATACATAATACATAATAAGAGTTCTAGGCTTAGAGAGAATAAAATCAAACTTTGTATTGAAGAGATAGGCTTCCTAATACATAATGCAGGCTTAACCAGAAAAATCTATGGTAGTCAAACTAGGAGCTAATGGAGATATATGATCATAAAATGCTCTCCGCTGAGTTTGATAATCAATGGTGCTCTACTGAGAGTAGAATAACAAAGCAGAAATATTCACAAGTGCTGGTGACACGTAGTATTGTATGATTTATTCACTGGGGTTCTTTTAGCCAAAACTCACAGAAACATAAAAGGAATTCATATTTCAAGACGTCTGGTTTAATGAAAAATTCAAAGAAATGCTGTCTTCAGTCGAAATCGTTCAAGGATACGGATGCAGTGATGGAGCAAAATTGTGCCTTCCAACCATCTGTACTAAATGTTATGTACTTAGCTGCCTCCTGAGTAATCCTTGGGAATTTTGTTTCATTTAATATTCATTTTAACATCATAAAATCATAAATACAATGATACCATGTTACAGTGAATCCCCTGATATAGAAAACATTTCCTGAAGTCCTGGTTTCCTTCCAATAAAGTAGAATTCCTCTCATAGTGAACGAATCTCCTATTATACTAAGCAATCACTTGGCAGCATAGGTTATTTTAATGGATACATCACTTTAAACTAAGCTTTCACATCTGTTCCGCCCTCTAATTACAAATGCAAAATGAACATAATTCACAATTGTATCATAAAAAGTAAAATATAAGTACTTTGAATGCAAGAGTATGTCCTTTATTTAGCACAACATGCAGCTTTTATGTGTTTCTCATGTTTTAGACACAAATCAAAGGCAAAAGTGCTTTCCCCTGATATAGTGATTTTCTCCCCCATGGCAAACAGGAATTCACTATAAAAGGGTTTCACTGTAATTAGTGTTATTTGAATTGCCTAGTCTGATCCAAAGCAAATTGTCTGTGGAGAGCAGCAGGACTGGATTATTTATCAACAGTCTGGGCAATTAAGAAACAGTTGGCTGCAATATGTTATTTACAAATGAACACAATGATGCTACTTCATTTTAAATTCTCTTTCTTCATTACATTAAGCAAGGCATAATTCCTGCAGTTTAATTAAGGTGCATTTAAAATGCTCACTTTAATATCGTACCAATCTACTAATAATGGAAACAGTAGAAAAGATAGTTCTTACATTAAAGAAAAATGCAAGTCTGCTAAATTTCAACAGAAGTTTCACGTATATGTGTAGATATATAGACACATACACGTGTAGATAGATAGATAGATAGATAGATAGATATTTGAGGGAATCTCTGCCCCAAAGGCATGAATTAGAATAAATACTAGATTGTGGGGATCACCTGTAAATGTGATCTGATCCTGACTGGTGTTTTCTTTTTCTTTAAACAGTTAAAACAAAGTGACAAATTCAAAGGAGAACCAGAAACGTTATCGAGAGTAGACCGAGAGAAGGAACCAACACATGGTCTCAGTTGGGAACAGAGTATTTTTTGTTTTGTTTTGGATTTTTTTAATAGATCAAATAGGCATTTGCCTAATTCCTATTGGACTGGGACTATTTAAAATTTGAATCGACACTAAACTATTTAGGGTGGTGTCAAACTACATCATATAAAATATTAACTTTTTTCAACAGCATCTCCTTCCAAAGTGAGCTGAAAATATAGCCATCATGCTGACCTCATATAGCAATTAGATGTTACAATTCCCTTTGCTTTAACAAGTGATTTATTGACTCTGAAAAATACTGTAAAAAGAAATAGTGATGTACAGTTTGATTCAAATTCTGTTTGCCTGGTTTTAAAATTCATACTTTCCTTCAGATCATACAAGACTCAGAATCCAGTACAACCAATGTAACTAAGTTATTAAGAAAACTATAGGAGTACAGTTCTTAATTTTTGCTTGAGATTAATATTAGGAATCAAAGCTTTATACCAACCCACCTATATTTTGGTGAATATAGAAAGGCACATAACTTCAGTCATATCAACACCTTCAGAGTTTTTTTAACTTAATGTAGTTTCACAATCAAAGGAAGAGCCGCTAGAGGAGTAGCAAATTAAATACTAGTAGTGATGCACATATGGACAGCCAATCTGATGAGCCTCAGCCTTTGTTATTTTCCGCATCAGTACCACTCACATTTCACAATTTTGAATATAAACATTAAAATGATTTATTATCAAGTAATCATGGGTATTTTGTGCATATGCTTTGCCTTGTTTGCTGGCAGCAGATACCAATCCAGTCATTGCCAGTGGACAAATTTTGAAGTGACCAAATTTTTTTGTACTTAAGGAACTATCACGTAAAATGTATAATTGTGTTTCATAATCAGGAGTCATTACAGCAGATATTCGCAAGGGTTCAATGCAAACAATAACTGAACCTTTAAATTGAAAGTTGTGTTAAGCTGCTGAGAAGATTTTTGTTATTTTTCAAAATATTCCAAATTCAGCCACTGATTGAGTAAAGGAAAAATATAGGAAAAATATAAAGAAAATATAGGAAATGAACTTGAACTTTATATTTAAGTCCACCTCAAAACATACAATACTGAATACAGTCATCTAAAGGGAGAAAAAGGTGCCTTTTTAGCTGCTACTTGAATGGCTTTCAGGTTGGCTTCCAATCAGGCTGTCCTATTTAGTCCTCTCCAAACAAAGAGACAGCAAGCGCAAAATGAAGCATTTGAGGTAAAGAGATGGTTTTCTATGCTGATTGCTGTACAATTTGTAAGTTTGCTGTTGAGATTCTCTTTCTCTAGAGTACTGGCTAATATTGGATAAGTCCTGGTATCCAGAAATGGGATGAATTCATGGTCTGATTTAGAATATGTGAATTATGCGTGAGCTTGCACAATTTTTTGTCCTACATTATTCCAAAGACTTCAGACTTGGCAAGAGCTTGTCAATTATGTCTGTTTGAAGAACAACATACAAACTAAGCTTTATTGGTTAAAGTCTTTTTTGTTATTATTTTTCTTTTCAGAAATATATTTCAAGAATGGAAAGCTGAGGGGGTTTTATGATGCTAGCTGTCTCAGCTTGGCTATTACAGATTTCCTTGGTTAATTTTAAAGACTCTTTATCATAAAATGTAACTGTCAGAACATTTTTTTAAGAAGAGAGGACAAAATAAGAAAAAAGTAATAAAGAGATGAGGTAAAAGACCTCCAGTTTCATAGATGTACAGAACATAGATGAATAGTTGGCAGGGACCTCTGGGGCTCCAAACCAGTGCCCAAACCAGAGTCAATTACCACAAGTTGTGCAGGGCTTCATTCAGTGGGGTTTTGAGTATCTCCAGAGGTGGAGACTCCACAAGCACAGCTTGCACTGCCTGGGCAACCCATTCCAGTATTTGATCACACTCACAGTGAAAAATGTTCTTTCTTATCTTTGAGTGGAATTTCCTGTACTTCAGCTTGTGCCCATTGCCTCTCATCCTGTCACCGGGCACTAATTGCAATGCCACTGCAGGCTGACTCTTTGGGAATATTTATCTTGCCATCTTACCTACAGGGCACCGCTCAGAACACTGCAATGGACAGTAGGCACAGTGGTGATGTGTTCAACTTGTATCTTATCTGGGCTTCACAGTTTTTACAACCTTTATATAAAAAAAATAAGTCTCTGAAGTGATAGAATTCTGCTTAAAATAGGAAACTGATTACTAATGACAAAGAAATTAGCATTTGAACATGGGGTGACCAAAAGATAGCTCCCTACAATTTGGAGGGATTGAAAAATATGTAAAATGGCCACCATCAGATCTTTCTCCTGCTTAAGCCCTCTTAAAGACCTAATTAATAGATGCTAAAATTTGGCATGGTGCTTATTCTCGTCTTGAAAAACACAGAAACACATAAATGGCCTTGTTTCTGAAGGGAAATTCACCACTCTATTATGTTTTAACTGTGAAAAGATTTAGAACTTAAGGGGATGTCATGAGATGACTTCACCTAAAACATTGCCTGAAGCATATCTAATTCATCGATGCATCCATGCATTTGTCTAACCTTTTCTTAAAAACCTAAAGTAGAGGGAATTCCACAACATGTTTTGGCAGTATGTGTCAATATTCCACATGAAGTTGATTTCTTCCTTCCCTTTCCCCAGTGGCTGCATAGATCTTTTCTTCTCATTAACAGATTTTAACACACAGTAACATTATAGTGCCTCACTTCTTTTACAGAAGATTTTCTAGATTAAAGAAACCTTCCCTAAACTCAGAGACAATATTCAACTGAAGACCCATTTTTTTTAAAGCAGAACCCAATTCAACCATGCAGCTATCTGCCCTGTATTCAAGAATTAAAGTGGTTTAGGAAGTAGACTGAAAACCATAGCCTGAAAGGATGACTCATAATGTATTAGTTAAGCCAGGTAAATTGGAAGAGATAAAATCTTTAATTAGATTACTGATAGACTTCAAGGAAAAATAGATTAAGTTTTCAGGCACAGAAGTCCCGCTACTTGAAAACATAGTTTAGTAGGAGGTACGGACTTTAGCCTGTAATATATGAGTTATTATGGCTCTTTTTTTTGTTGTTTTTTTTTTACTTGCCTGTTTTGAATGAAACACAATTTAACTTTACCAAAATTAATCAAGAATAAATGACCAACAAGTTTTAAACTATTGTGAAATATTAACATAAACTGATAAATTAGTTAAGTAAATTACATATTAAAAACTTAATTGTTTTATGTTAAAGGTAAATCAGTTTCTTTTTAACCTCCTAAACCTGTTAACAGAGGTTTTAGCTTGTGTGCTATCATACACTTTTGCTATCTTCATGTCTGTCAAGGGAATTAGATTGACTGTGATCTGTTTTGTGCCTTAAGGCAAAACCTCAAATACTTCAAGGTTCATTAAGTAAGAAATTTAAACCAGTAAAACATAGAATACCAATGTGTAGACACATTGGCTTATTTTATTTTCAGAATTAAAAGTTAAAAAAGCATCCTGAAAAGCTCCAATCCTCAATTACCATCAGGTGGGCAGGCTTCTGCATGAGTAGATCTCATTGCTGGTTTGAGGACTGACATTACAGAGCTGCAAACACTTAAACACTGACTTAACTTGACCATTATGAGTAGGCTTACTGAAATAAGTAAGCTTCTCATGATAGTAAAGTACATGTGTGTGTGTGTAAAGGATCAAGTTTCAGCTTTTTAATTTTCAGATGAGTGAGTTAACTACTTCACATGTATTCTATAAATAACCAAACTAGTTTTCTACCTCCACCATTTTTCTGAAGTATCTTCTGCCTCGATAACCTCTCCACCACTTCTGTATTAAAGTCGCCATTTTGTTCAGATTTCTAAAATGAAATATATTAAAAAAATATTATTATTTTGAGACTTTACAATATAACTTTTTTTCCTAATATTAAAAATAATTATAGTGTATTACATCCATACTTATTCCAAACAGATGGCCACTGCAAACATACTTTATACATATACATGTATGCATATATACATAGGCAGAAACATACACACTTATAAACCAATATACACATATATTTATACATACACACATACTTAGCTTTCGAAAAAAAATGAGTTACTGCAAACTTACCTGTATACTATTTCAATTATCATTACAAAAATTTACTGAAATATCCTTACAAATGTAATTTGCATGATAGATTAATTTCATGAATTGTTTTATACCGACGTATCTGACTGGTTCAGAATTTTTTTCAGTCACACGTAACATTTTCACAGGTTGACAATTTTTAAATATTTGACAAAGCCCACAGATAACTGGAATTTTTGGACTACATTTTGCTTTTGTGAAATTACACCTAGCTTAACTGTAAGTAAATCTTTGCTCTGTCCTTAGTACACACACTTCATTAGGCTACTAAAAGTTCCATAATTGATGTCTTACAACATTTTTGCAGAAAATAGTGTAATGATTACTTTGGGACTGCCTAGAAAAAGCTATATAGTGGAGCATTCATACCACCTAACTATGGATATCAAATTTAGAAGCCTTGCAGTACAGCTAGAGTCACTCAGTGGAGGGAATTTTTTCCAGCAGGTAATTCAGAAGACCTAAATGAGAGGGTAATTCAGAACACTGACAACTGGCTACATTGAGCCTGTGCTCCTAAATCAGACCACCACATCCATCTTTGGAAAGAGGACACTAAGCAGGATCATTCTGTACACAGCTGCAGAGAAAATCCTCTTCTACACTTAGCTAATTTAGTTCTTCATACATGGTCATTACAATTACATTATTCTTCTTACATTGGTCATTACTAAATATAAATGTGTGTTTGGAACAGCGTTTTCCTACAGAATAGACTGGCAAAGACACTTGGGTTTTCACTTTCTTCAATAGCATGCTGTTCTTATTCATGTGCTGGAAACAGAGGGGCACTAACCAATCCTTTGTCTTCCTAGGGGCTTTTGATATTGATGGCATAGCTGATACTCCATGGAGCACTGAAATACCATGTTTATTTGCCTGCTGAACACTTGCATGTGCTGGCTACATCCTGTGACAACACACTTGAACCAGCAACTGAAAATATAGTACCAGTGTTTTTTATAACAAGTGCACATAATGGCTGTAGCCATATCTTTTTATGAGGGAAATATTGGTCATTAAGTGATTAATGTTATTTAACCTAATAATTCTTTAGGCTTGATACAGTATGTCCGGATGATACATAATGACTTGCAACAGGCAAGAGGTAAAATTAGAAGATGTGACAATCCCTCTCTAACACAGCCTTAATTTTTGTGAAGATACAGAAATTAAAGCATACAAATTTGACCAATTGGGCTTAGGATCATAAAAAATGGAGGAAGGCCTCCTGGGAGGAGGGCCCGAGCATATTGTGTCCAAAAAATTTATATCAATGTCAATACAGCATTTCACAGAACCAAGTAATTGTACATGATCTCTGTTTTATAAATGGAGAAAATTATGTAAAGAAAGATTTTTTTAAAATGACTTAGTCAAATCCAGCAGTAGAATTTAATTTTCTGCAACAGGAGTCCAGTTACCATACACTCACTAGGCAATTTTTCTGTAACATCCACAATAACAGACATAAGAAAAGTCTATGCAAGCAGTATACATGAAAGACTTTATTTTTTTCCCAGTCATGCCAAAATTTCTTAAACAATGTGTATCCATCCTGAAGTTGGATTATTTCCATGCTACTTATTAAAATAATGCTATTTTAATTGTATGCAGTTCTGAAAATCAAAAGGTATTATTTCTTATGGTGGCACAGTATATATTTAATTCTATTTAAAAACAGAATATTTTTTTTAATGCTCCCGTTTTATTAAAATCAAGTAATACCATGAGAAATTTGGGGGAAAAAAAATCAAGATTGAAATACAGATTAACATAGGCTTAATATACTACCTCAGATAGGCTCGGACTCTGCATCCTCGAAACCAGCTCTGGATTTTGATAGCAGCTTTGTACTCTATTTTTCTGTGTTCATCTACAGATCTGAACATATAAAAAGTAGTAATACTTGTCAGCATGATAATTTAGTGCCAAAGCACAAAAATTCTTCTAAATATGTCTTAATGTTGCAGTTTGTGACTTTTTCACCAGGTTTTTCACTTTTTAATTCTACATAGTTAAATAATAGTGTAAACCAATATAATCTACATTAGTTGCATATTATGAAGATAACAAAGATAAAGAGTATCACAACTTGTAGATGATGTAAGGTTTGGGAGAGTGTACTTCTTATTCCCATACAATACTGAATATCCATGTCAGCATGTCATGGACTTCTGTGTGGTGGGTTGACCCTGGTTAGATCCCAGATGCCCACCAAAGCCCACTCTATCACTCCCCCTCCTCAACTGGGCAAGGGGAGAAAAATATAATGAAAGGCTCATGGGTGGCAGTAAGGACGGAGAGACACCACTCACCAATTACTGGCATGGGCAAAACAGACTCAACTTGAGGAAAATAAAACAAATTTAATTTATTACCAATCAAATCAGAGGATAATAAGAAGTAAAACCAAATCTTAAAACACTTCCCCCCATCCCTCCCTTCTTCCCAGGCTTAATTTCTTTCCTGATTTTCCACCTCCTCCCACCAGCAGCACAGGGGGACAGGGGTTGAGGTCAGTTCATCACACGTTCTTTCTGTCGCTTCTTCCTCCTCAGGGGGAGGACTCCTTCACCCGCACCAGCGTGGGGACCTTCTCATGGGAGACAGTCCTCCATTAACTTCTCCAATGTGAGTCCTTCCCATGACTGACAGTTCTTCACAAACTGCTCCGGCATGGGCTCCTCTCTCCATGGGGCCACAGGTCCTCCCAGGAAACTGCTCCAGCGTGAGCTTCCCATGGGGTCACAGCCTCCTTCAGGCATCCACCTGCTCTGGCGTGGGGTCCTGCATGGGCTACAGGTGGACTTCTGCTACATCATGAACCTCCATGGACAGCCTGGTCTCTCTCTGGTCTTCATCACAATTGCGGGGAAAATCTCTGCTCCGGCGCTGGCGCACCTCCTCCCCCTCCTTCTTCACTGACCTTGGTGTCTGCAGAGCTGTTTCTCTCACATCTTCTCACTCCTCTCTCTCTAGTTGCAAAGTGTGCAGCTTTTTTTTCCTCTCTTCCCCCTTTTTTTCTTAATTATGTTATCACAGAGGTGTTACTGATGGGCTCGGCCTTGGCCAGCAGCGGGTCCATCTTGGAGCCGGTGGCATTGGCTGGACATGAGGGAAGCTTCTGGCAGCCTCTCTCAGAGAAGCCACCCCTATGTCCCCCCCCCAGCTACCAAAACCTTGCCACACAAACCCAATACATTCTGTCATAGGTGAAATATATGGATAATGCTTTAATGATAATTAGGCTTGCATGATAACAAAAATCCTGTAGCTATGTATAAAATTGTGTATCTACATGAATATTAAATAAATTAACTGTAGTCAATATTACCATGATAAACGTAGATAGAATTAATAAGAAGCATATCTTAAGGGTGAGATCTAATTAAAATACATTGTTTTATGACCAATACAAAATATTTTATTTGTTTATTACCTGAACAGTGATAGCTTCAATAATGGTGACAGATACAGTTCTTGTCTGTAGATTTTTTTGATGAATACGAGCTGATCTTGCAGGATGAAAGTAGAGGATTTAGACCTTTTAGCTAATTTCTTAGGAAGGAATTTAAAGAGCAGAAGGATGAAAAAGAAGAAGAGGTGAATGAAGGAAAGTGAGATACAAATGTAAGTTAAAACTATTATGAGTTAGAACAATGAAAGCATAGTAAAGCAACTAGATGTGGAAATCTCCAAACTTTAGAAGGCATGGAATGTCAGGATACGAAATCTTAGTGTGGCTTAAAAGGAAGGTGAGAGTTTGAAACAAATGGTGTTAGTAACTTGGATAGATTCCAAAGGGATGACCATGGGACTCCTTCACATGGAGTTAGAGTAGTCAGTGCAACAGCTTATTGAATTTTGACAGGATTTTTCACAATGGGAATTCAAAGACATGGATTTTTGAGATAAGGTAGAAATGAAACTAGTTGAATATTGGCATGTGCTGCAGACAGGCAAGGAAGGAACAAAAGGAAACAAAAGAAGTATTAGAAAACATGCTAGGGTTGCAGCATTGATTAATATAGCTACTAGAGGAACTAATGAAAAAGGGAGGATACAGAGAAAGATGAGGAATTTGTTTCTAAGTTAAATGAGAAGAAAGGTTATCTAGAAAGAGATACTGGTAAAGCAGCTGAAGATGCAAGATAGATGTAGGTGCAGAATTGAGGAGATTTTCAAGAACTATTAGCTGTCAAAGCTTTTTGTCAAATGACATAGTACAAGGAAAAGGCACAAGCACAAGTGAGAAAGAGCACAGTTAGAAGGACCTCATCAGAAAGTCAGAAAATAATTCCAAGAGACAGTCCTTGACTGCCTTCTTTCTGTGACTTTTCTAGGAGAACAGTGTTTGTGACAAAGCTAAAAGTCATATAAGGAAAACTATAAATCTAAAAGAGAATAAAGAAACATATGAATGTGGAAGAGACTTTTCAGAGAGTTCGGGAAGAAGTCATTATCAGGAGTTTCAATGCTGACAGGTACAACCCAGCTATGAGATCAGGTTTTTTGTTTCAAAATGTCAATAACTGTCAAGTCTTTAAACTCAAAATTATATTTTAATTTTCATTGATTTTTTGCTATCCTATTTTTATTAGGAACATATTTACCAAATAGTTTAATTTGTTACACCTGCCACAAAAGAACAATTAGATTACTATTAGTTAGTTTTCTTAAATAGTTGACAATAGTTAGCTCTCCTAACAAAGTGTTGTGTCAAAACTAATTGCCTTGGTAAACACCAGCAAGATTATTTTTTATTTGATAAATTATGATTATCCTCATTATATTTCTTGAAAAATGAAACACAGATTTACTACCAGAGATCAAGAAGCATTGGCTCCATTCAGTTTATATCACCTGGTGTAGCATGTGCTCTCAAATCATATTAAGTGGGCACAAATTTTCATTGTCATCTGACATGGAGCAGACCTGTCCAGAACCTGGAAACTGTGGAAAACACTTTTTTACCCAAGACCAGAAAAGAAGTTGATAACAAAGATGACATTTATGCTAGAGAGCTTCCTTGTTCCTTTCCTGTACAGCTTCCTAGCCTTCATAGGAAGCAGACACCTCCAGAATGCTTTTACCTAGAGGTAAATGATTTTGATTTAAAAAGTATGAGTGATTTCTCACTAGACAGGCAGCCACGATTACAGTCTGGAAAGGAAGGGGATATGGGACTGGCCATGTCATATATAACAGCTCCAAAACCAGTCCTACCCACTTGGCAATGGCAACAGTCTGCTTCTGGAAGAGCAGAAGCCTTCTCCTCTATTACTCCCTGTAAGGTTTTTTAGTTGTCATTGTCTTGCCTGGCCAAGTCAGTTTAGAAGTCCTTGTAAGGTTTATTAAAGCAGACCAACAATAGACTTGTTTTTCTCACAGTACAGTTTCACAAACACTTTAAATTGGCCTTGCCAGCAGAAAAAGTAGTTTGAAGGATAAGTTGCTCAAGCTGGTATCTGCCCTTCTGATCAGATGGCATAGTTGTCCTACAGTCTGAATTAAGCTTTTAGAGTCACAGATACATCCCAAAGACTTTACTGAATGTTAAAAAGGTATACTCAAGGCTAGCATCTGACATATAGATGTTACAGTCAATAACAGTAGGTTCTGGAGTGTGTAAGTGATAAAATAGTTTAACGCTTAAAATAAGAGAATGCACTAACAGATCCTACATATTCTAACGCTTATGCTTACAAGCTATTTCCCAAGGTGCAGGCTTATAGTATTTTTACATTGTGCCATCATGGGGCAAGACCTTCTCTAGAAAGGTGCTTTCCCTAAAAATCAGTTTAGGAGATCTCATACCTCTATCATAAAAAGAGTTCTGCATAAAGCACAACAGAAACATTATTAAGATCAGGAGAATTTTATTAAAATCAAACCTGTCTAACCACAATCAACAGGGAAGATACTAAAGTCATCAACCTGCCCTAATGTTTAATAGTACATGTGTAGAGTCTTAAAATAGCAAATGCATTTTGAAAGATAAAGTTTTCTAATTTGGGGATTTATTTTAAGGCATTTTTATTATTATGTTCCTCCTGCAGCAGTAATTGCTAGCAAAAGTACTTAGTTTTTGCCAGAGTTAGTTGCTTTAAATCAAGATGCTCTGGAGGGTCTGTGTGTTCTAGATGTTCTACAGAATTCTGCTTTTAGTTCTTTACAGATAGATGAAGAAAGAAATATTTTAATTTTGTCTTAAAATGTGTTTGACACACATGGAACTAAATCCTTCAGGTCTTACCCTTGGAGGTATTTGCAAACAGGGCAACTCATACAAAAAAAAAACCAAAACAAAAAACCAACTTGGTAATCTATATTCTTCTGTACCTTCTGATGCTCCAGATCAAATCAGATCTTCTGGGGAATCTGGTATTTCACTGCAGAATACTTGACTTCATAGATTAAAGAGTGGCTTTTTTTACAGTATCATGTATTTTTGTCTGAATGCCATCATTGTCAATGATGAATGACTGCACAGATTACACTGAGCCAGGTGCTCACAGCATCCCAGATTTGTCAATTTTAACAGATCTATTACATTATGTAGATAAAGCATAGTTCTGAAAAGGAAATTAAAGCAGTTGTCTGACTTCAAAATACAAATGCTTCAGAAGTACTTTGAAGACCACTGCAAATTTGACACATATTAATGCCCAAAATTTATTTGTTAAGTTTAAAAGTCAAATAAGGATCTACCAAAATCCCTAAACAAGATATTCTGATTTGTTTCAGGATTTTACTGACAGCTGTGTTGAAGTAGCCCAAGATTTTCATCCTAAAGAACAAAGATCAGACTACTGATCAGCCCTTCAGTTGCTGAGCTGGACTGTTTGAAACCTCTCATTTAAATTCTCAGCTGAAAATCT